CACTCTGAAGAAAGCAGAACAAGCTGCTCTTGCTCTGACGCTCGACTCGCTTGGCATTGATATCTGCTGTGCCTCAGAAACAAGAATTCAAGTGATTGAGCTAATCGCCCCATCAGTCTCTACTCGCTTCCGGCTACGCACCTCTGGTGATCCAGAGGCTGCTGCAGCGGGATGTGCAGGGGTTGGTATCGTCCTAAGTCACCGGGGGATACCTGGATACCTGTTGGTACTCGCCCCTGTGGTTCGTTCGGCAACGTCTGTGAAGGAGTCTCACAAGCGGCAAGTTGATAGATGTCTGTTTATTGTGTCTGCCTACGCCCCAAGCGACTGTAGATCCGACGCCGTCAAAGACAGGTTTTACGACGCCATGAATGCCCTGCTGCAACGAGCTAAAAGCTAAGACAGCGTGGTGGTTGCCGGAGATATGAATGCACAAGTGGACAGGCTCAGCGTACTTGAGACTCAATTAGGAGGTCGACATGGACTGGACTCGGTACGTACGCACAATGCTGAACGATTGCTTCAGCTGTGTGCTGATCGCAGGCTGCTTTTATGCAGTACTAACTTCCGAAATAGCCGAAGTCGCCTGGCCATGTGGTGCCCTCCAACGACAGACCGGCCACAAACCCAAATCGACCACACTGCCATCAGCAACCGATGGCGTGGGTGAATGACTGACTGCCGGTCATTTTGTAACACATTTGTTAATTCCGATCACGCGCTCGTCCGGAGTCGCTTCCCCCTACGTTTTCCAGGGCCGCGTAAGCTGCGATCAAATCGCTTGGCAACTGAGAGACTGGCAGATCTGGATGTTAGACGAATTTACCAGAATCGTCTTCTAGAATCTCTTCCAAATGCTCCACCATCAGATGTGGACTCATACTGGGACGAGATCACGACCTCTTAGCATAAAGCTAGGAATTTTGCCTGTGGCACGGCACCACCAGGCGCACTCAAACACTGGATATCAGACCGAACGGTGGAACTACCTAAATCTCTAAGAAATATCCCAGCCACCCCGAAACATAACTTGATGCGACGAATTATCAGACATCAAGTGAAAGAGAGTGTGCAAGCCGACCGCGAAGTGTGGTGTT